CCAGCAACACGATGCAACACCTCAAATTCATGAGAAGATCAATTCCGACGTCTACCCAGATTATGACCCTGAAGATATTCAGAGTAGTACCGATATGGCCGAAACATCTGACTTCGACCCCTTGATTATATCCCCTGAACGGATTGCGATTGCTAAAAAACTGTCATCGTTGGATACTCAACACAAATCTGAGCTTACGAATGGCTTCGCTTTTGACCATACTAGTGATAGTCAAGAATACCAGGATGCCATTGACGATGATGAAGAATTAGAAGGCGGTTCTGTCGTTGCCTTGCTAGAGTTCACAACAGCTAAAAAGGACAAAGTTATGGAATCTGTACGTAAAGCAGATCCCAAGGCCAACATCATTGTACCGCGTGGGCCACATCAGGAGAGAGCTCGTGCCCTTTTCAATGAGTCGCAATAGTGAATTTGTCGTTGTGAGTGAGCAGTAGCGATGCTTTTAATTAAACGATTTAAGTAATTTTTAATATAAAAATGGATGTCTCAAATATCATTTTTACCTGTAAGTCCAAAGACGAAAAGTTTCTTGGGGTGTTTCCAGAGCGGAGAGTCGTGCAAGTGATTGCAGAATATCTTTCTGTCGCGGTGAAAGTACGCGCAAAGTGTTGCACGAATTGATATACCGGTTTTCTCTATGGACAAAAGAGGTTAATGGCCACGGTCGGTCCCGCCAGATCATAAAAATGCGTTATTTGGGTGTTGTAACATGTGAAGATATAAATATACGTACTTCTAGCAAAGAAAGTTTGGTTGAATGGTATGAGAATATATACAACGCTTTTTTAGTAAAAAAGTCACACATGCCATCCTGTAACAGCTATTATATTTTTGAAATTGCATTTTTATAGAAACAATAATCTATCATTACGAGCAATAATTCACCTGTCACGTTTCATCTCATGTATATAAAAAATTGTATCCAGAGAATACATGCTTTTATTCATACTTTCTGCTGTCTCGGATTCTTTCAAACTACAAAGTGCTGCAATTCCTGATTTTTTTGTCGGCGAAAACCAGGCTAAAAAGCTCACACTCGTTGAGGAGCCGTTTGCTGATGTCTTTCTTTTGGAATTTGCAGGCCTAAGTAGAGATGACTTTATCACCGTTCCGACAAAACATAGTGTAATTTGGGAACTTGATGAAGCTATGGGTAATTTGTCCTACACTGATCTTAAACATGGAGGATTGAGTCAAAGATTCAAGATGATAAAAAGGCCATTTGGATTGTATAAGATTATGAATGGAGTAAACAGTTGCATCACGTTGAACTTCCAAACAGAAGATTTTCGCAAAATAACGTGCAATGACGACGATCTAAAACAATATTTTCGACTAATTCAGACGTCCAACAGAGGATTTTAAATTAAATATTTTCGTTCTATTCTAAATATCTGGTAAGATTGTCTTTTCAACCAAGTTATTTTCAAGGAATACTTCAACGGTTGCTATATTGTCTTGGAACACATATAAATTTTAGCCGACTCAGCATAACTAAAATGTTACACCCGGATAGTTATCTACGTTTCGCTTGAAAACAGCGATACAATACATCACCATCTTCCCATATAATAAAAAGACAACTCGAAATATTATTGGTCAATTGGACGAATAAATTTTTTACCCCTTCAAGAAAAATCAAAAATATATATTTCGCATCTTCAAGCAAATAAGGACTTCAAAACAGTTGTTTAGTTCGTTTTCTTTTGAAACGCTCAACCACCATACAACCTTAAAGTTAAATGATCTCTCGTTGAAAATTAATTTACAGATCCTAGCACTTGATCCAAAACCAATGAAAAAACATAGCACATTATAATGAATAAAATGTTCAATGGATATTCGAACTTTGTTTCATTTTCTAAATGAGATAGCACAGCTATTTTATCAAGAAAAATCCTCTGCATACAATTTTATCGTGGTAATAACCTCTATTTGTATAGAAAGGCGGAGAGTTGCATGTTACACGAATCATTCAGTTTTGGCACTGAAAGCGAGAATAGTTGTGTTGCTCCAGATTGCTACTTCTGATCTGATGTATTGTAGATGAGTATGAACACGATTGTTTTCATCCATTAACTCTGATTCAACATCTGCAAAGACATAAAACATTACTCATGAGCAGATCAGCGTAATTTTTTTGTTTTAGCTTTAATATGTTTTCATATCAATTAGTTATGTTAACTATATTATACATTGGCACTGTGACTATCGGCACAAAGCAGAAGTGTTATCCGCGATCTCATACACGAAATTTATAATCTGGATTATCTATCGATTGCAGATTACATCGTTACAATGACAATTTTGGAAAACGCAATAAAATTTGTATAAGATTGAATGTCAAGGCAAAAAAACATTAAATGAATGGTTCCAGGTGTAAAAACTGCTTAATTTTGTTGAATTGGATCGACAATCCTGATTAGTGCAGAATTAAATAAAATGATTGGTAAATATAAGCCAAGCAAAAGCAATAAATTAAAAAATATCACTGAAGCACCATTACGAAACATTTATCTAAACATTATCATAAGGATCAATAAATATTCCATGTTCTCAGTTGGATTGTTCTATACCGCGTTGAATCCTTTGCTGGACTTGATTTCTTCCCAGTACATCCATTTGCCCGTTTATTTTCGTGTATTTTACTGTTTTTTCTGCATCCTGGTTGTGACATGGTATGAATTCCATCTTATCATTGCTTGAGTGTTGCTTGTTGCGGTAACATTTTTTGCACAGACAAATCAGACAGAGGAAACAACAAAGCAGCATAACGATCAGAACGAGAAAAACCGTGGATAAAAATAGAGTCATGGCATGTTTGCACGCAAATTCTTCGATCGTTTGGTTTTGTTTTATAGAAGTGCTTATATATTCACTCCCAGTTCCACTTACTAATTTCTCTGCTACGATATTCGTGTCAATGATCGTATCATTAATCAAGTCGTTGCTCATGTTACACCGCTCATCATTTATTATTAAAGCTCATATCGTTCCCATTTAAGGCAAATGATGAAAATCGGAGATCTGGAAATCGCGCCCAAAAGTAAATAACAGCCAATAAATGATTGAGTTCCCCTGAGAGTGCTCTAATTATTTGGCTAAACATCACAACCATGGGACAAATCGAGTATCATGCTGAACCATGAGACATATGGCGAAACAATAAGGCATTTATAGACCCTGTTTGTGCATGTTTTATCTCGAGCAAAGCATCGTTGAACCACATCTATTCTAAAACCCAAGTCCATTGAGTTGGTCACCTTGAATGAGTATGAGTCATCTAAGAATTACCAATTGTGGTTGCAATTCATACAATTTTTTGCGATAAAGCTCTTGAAACAACCATAACCGCATTTTAAATGAACACAGTAACATGGTATGATGATTTTTCGAATCTTTGTTACGGAAACATAACCATAATATACTTTGAAAAGAAAGATTGAAATTATATGATTTATCGTATATCATTACATTCTTTCAATTTGGAATATCTGCTGATTAGTTCGTAAAGAGCTGATGCCATAAGCTAATGTGTTTTGTGGATAGTATCATCGAATGTAGAACTAAAGGAGCGTTTGCCTGTTATACAACATTCAGAGAATGTGTGATGCATAACTGGTACAACTTGGAGACTGTTCGGAATTTTTATTGTTATTGTTGTAACCATACCATCGTTTTTGTTTGGGCGCCCAGAGTTGGCTACGTTAGCAAACGTTAAGATGAGCAATTCCTAGAGGGTTTTATGGTGTTGATCATCCATATGACTTATCGTCGTTGTAATCTGCAGTTTGTTCCTGTAAACCATGATTAAAAAGCGGGAAGAGTTAAACCAAACAACATTACAATCGCATTATTGTATACGGGCATCTGACATGTGGCCATCAGAATTTGAGCTATAGCGTATTACACAGCGTCTTTTGCGATACTGTTCGCTATTAAAAATTGTAAATAAGTGAAATAGAATCAGTTGAATTTATTTATATTCACTTGTAGCTTTTGATTTTGCTATTCCCTTTTTTGTCGGGTTTCCACCCGATTGTGACTTCAAAAACAGTTCAACTTTTTCGTGTATACCCATTTGATCCAACTTATGTCCAGAGATCACATCAATCGTTGGTGACAGCACCAATTTTTCATTTCTTTGACTCAGCCATTTTTTGTGTTGCATTTCGTTGCGCTCTTTTAAATCAATTCTTTGTTTTTTGATGATGCCTACTTTTTGTTCTTCGGCAATAAACGCTTCTCCATTCATGTTTTGATGTTCGACTATCGCTTCTGTTTCTTGTTTACCGTTGAACCATGCTTCTTGTTCTATGATTTGGTTTTTGGTAGTCAGCAATCTTTTAATCCTGTCATTGCGCTTAAAATCACGTTCTTTTTTGGAATGAAGCTTTACAGTCTTATGAGCTGCTTCCTCAAGCTTCAGCTCGTTTATGTTCTGTGTATTTGTATTTTCATGATTATTTTGGGATGAAGCCAAAATTTTTACTTCCTTATCGCTTCCTATTATTATAGGCTCGAACGATAATCCCGACATCGTTTCCCATTGTTCATTTTCTGTTGCTAAAGTCTTACACCTATTCGAAATTTGCCTTATCTCTGGTCCAATCCTTGTTGATTGCGTAAGAGGATTTGCACCCGGGTATTCACCAGATGAATTTATGTTAGCATTGACAATTTTTCTTATTGTTGTCTCATTTGTTGATTCTTTGTCTTGACATTCAGCCTCGAACAACCAATCTTTTATTGGCATACGACTTCTCTTCAATCTCCTTGTGTTTACTCTGACAAAATCCAAGATGTAGTGGTTGAACACGACAACCATGATAATTATGGAGCATAGGCCGGCGATAACACATACTATTAGCAAGAATATTTGATCTGTTCTATCTATTTTGTACGTTATACCGGTCCGGTCTTGGGATGATGACGCCTGCCATAGATAATTCATTAGTCCCTGTAATAACGATAAGCTTGAGTTGGTTTGTACGACGTTGCTAGGCAATGCGTTGTTAGTTAATAACATTTAGTCAAAGAATGAAGAAGTGTGTTTAATATTTCAAACACATTTTCTATAATCGGCACTTTTAAAATTAATTAGATATGACATATTGGTAAATTAAAAAATGCACTAATGACTCTATATAGATTGATTTAGTCTTTAAAATTGGGTTAAAACGTTATTGCACGGTTCGTTCGTTCTGGTGGTTGAATTATTGCCCGTATTTTTGTGAACCAATTTTCTCAATTCCTTTTTAACTTTGGCATCATGGGAAGGACATTTCTCAATTTTGGATACTAAACACGCTGTACAACGAGTTGAAAGAAAGAAAACATATTATTATAGTTGTGAGAATGAGCGTTGCTGCAATAAAAATGAAGTCATCGGTTGATGTTCCTCTAAGAGTATTTTGATGTAAAATTCTGTAAGAAAGTGAACTTTATGCCTTTTTAATGCTGATCTCGATATCACCAAGGGCCTGTTTGCCATCGGGACCATTTACTTTTGGAGATACAATAATGAAGATCTGGTTCATAACCACCTTGCACCCGCTTCAGCCGACGAACAGGTGCATGAAAGTATATTTATGACGCATTGTATACGCAAACTAACCAAAAATGATATATATCGCCACGTAACACCACGAATTTGTCGATATGTTTGCGCTGAACATTTAAATCATATCCACGTTTGTAATAACACGATTCTGATAAAAATTATCAATATAAAGAATTTATCTCTGAATAGGTAAGTGTTTATTGTTTAATCACCTTCATTTTCGGGTATTTGTTCATTTTTCTGAACTCATAGTTCGGTGAATCTTGTTTTAACATGTTCTCAGATGTTGCGAACAAAAATCTTTCAAAATTGGTCTTTGTCCTATTAACAACAGGTAGAAACGGTTCTCTTCACAGCAATTTGTTTTTACATACAAAAACATGTTGTGCACTAATTCACTGCAACTCATTATGTTTTACTTATACGATTTGTCAGCACATGTTGATTAAAGCTTTGGTAATTGCCGTTTTTTGTCAATAAATCTCGGAAGTTGGATTAAGACGAATAAACTGACTACCAAATTAACAAGCCTACGAAGTAAAACGGTCGTTTGTTATGATTCGATTAAAAATCTGCTGTTCATAAAATGATAAAATAGCTCAGATAGAGCAAAGAAACATTGTTTTGTCGGTAAAATATTCTGATGTGCTTGTGTGTGAAGTGAAAATCAAACAGATCTTGCACAAAAACATATTCTGATTCTGGATGATTACAAAAATTGGAGCGATATCAAGAATTTAACTATTTAGCAGACATTATTTACCACATTTACATATCAATGACTCATTTAAAATTAGAATGGTTCTTCTCTACTACCACTGCGACTTGCTTGAATATTCACGGTTCAGAAATCCACTATTTAACGAGCAAAATTCATAACATCGACAACACAACACCAATCCAAATTGATTCTATGCATAACACGTCTTTTCACTGCTTGCATTAGCTTTGCGCTCGCATGTGGATCTCTTTTGGCCGTGTAAATGAGAGTTTTTGTGGTTTTTTTCCTCTGCTAGTTTCTGCATTCCATTCTTTCTTTGCTCAAACTGATTAATGCCGCTCACCAGGCCCTCGACTAAATCACCTGAAGTGCCGCTAACAGAACTATGCTTAGATGAGTAGTCACTCGCATACGAACGAGATCGTGGTTTTCGAGGCTTTGCAATGGCTATTGATGAATATGAATGTTCGATATCTGAGCCACTATCACTCGAATTATCTTTGTAAAAAACACCATCGTTTCTCCGTTTTAGTTTCCGTTTCACCTTCAATCTAGTTCCATCAATTTTCATTCCACACTTATCCGATAAAGGCTGTTCTTGTGTTTTCGATTTTGTTTTTGAGCCATTTAATTCACGTAATTCTATTTTTGAGTTCGTTGTTTTTGCACCTGACCTATTACCTCTTGAAGACATAGAATATTCGCTTCTCGCACCACTTAGTACACCAGAGGAGTCTGAGATCATGCTTGGTGCACCTTTTGGCGTTTTTCTCTGTATTGGTGGATACATTGGCGATGTGTTCATTGACAAATTCTTTCTGCTCACAGAACCTGAAGAATATCCAGAACTGCTTGGTGCACAACTTGCTTTTGAGCGTACCGACACATTCACTGTGGATGATGTGGATTTATAACTTTGCAGTGTGCTCTCCCTGCCACTATCCAGACATATACTTGATGGATAGCAAGACTCGCCAGTATCAGAGGGAATTATCCAATGCGACCTGCTATCAACGCTGATTCCCGCCACACTCTTAACATTACCTGCATTCCACGGTCTTTCGTCAGGATTGACACTATCATATCCATGCACACGTTCACTTTTATGTAAATCGGCCATCAGTTTGTCATAATTCACGAGAGACAACATCTTTGATGGCTTTTTGTTCTTGTTTTTATCAGCAGAATATTCATCTTCGATAGATGACAAGGAGTCGGTCTCTGAATTTTCTCTATCACAACAAGTGTCGCAGCAGTCATCGCTAAATTCTTCATCTGTGTCCTGTATTTCGTGGTGTTTACAAGCTGATGAACATTTTTGGAGCATTTCCTTCTCATCTGAAAAACCGATGTGTTTGTGAGGACATGTCTCATCGCACCTTTCTTCCAAGATTATGTACTCACTTTTCTCAATTTTGTGATTTCTTACCTTTGACCACCCGTTGGTTCTTCGTATGTGCAGGATTCTAAACATAACGCCTATGATGAAAATAATTGCCATGAATAAAACACTATAGAAAACTGCAGTGTTCAATAGTTCGAACTGTTGGGCATATTGGACTGGATTCAGCGATCCCATACCAGGTATCGACTTCTGAGGTGGCTGTGGTTCGTCTAAATTTGCTCTACGGAACCGTTTTATCATTTGCTCAGGTGTTTGGAGTGTCATGACGTAGTTTGATAGCATTTCTTTTAATGATGCCAATAACTGTAAAAGGAAACAAAGAATTATGAATTATAATTAGCATGTTTACGGCATATAGTAATGGAAGTCTGAGATTATACTATGATGTAACGTTGAATAATCCGACAGTAATATTCTCAAAATTTATAAAAGTTTGAAATTCATTTATGAATGAACTGGTTGATGATTAGCATATCTAATCAAGAAAAACTCAACGAATTGGTTGTTTCTTTGATAAGCACGTTTTTTTCGTTCAATTTATGTTTTTTGTAGCCGTGAATAATTAAAAAGGTTATTATCTGTTCAACCATCATCTACCTAGCACTTTTTGTTCAAGTTACTCGGACACATTTACATCAATTATGTTTAACTATTGACTCGATATAATTTTTTAGAAGTTAGAATTGATATCATATAGCTCGTTACCACTTCAAAATAGGTATCATTGACCATCTTGGTCGTATATTTTGTTTATTTTAATTTCGCTTACTCGATATTTCTATTCATATCGTCTGCAATAACTGTTGTACATACACCAATGCTTCTCATTTGCCATGAGAAATGATCGTGATCCGCATGTTCACAGGTATTTGTCCATCATACAGTCATCGTAGTTATCGGTCTGTAAGATGCTGATTTGACTAATCTCACCCACTAAATTGTGCTAATCTAACAAAAGACGGAAGACATAAATTTCCTTGGTCCCATCATGGTTAATATCTCACCAGTGATGTTCAACAGGCCTTTAGTCTCGAGTATCTTTGCCATGCATGCAGGCACTTTGATCCATGCTCCCATTCGATCTGCACCATTGCGTTTATCGCTTTGTGTAGAACTTGTATCTATTCCATCCCACATACCTTTTTACTTACTTTTATCGATACGAATACGTTTACATACTTTCAATTCTTTTATCACAAAGCCAACCGACGTATTTTCCCTGTTTGTCACGCTCTACAACTACAACCAGTGATTAGTTCATAGACACATCAATATCGATTTTTTTGATATTTGATGTGTTTTGAAAGTTGGAAGTAGTGGCATATTGTGTACTTATGCTAGTAATCCACGAATATCAAATCTTGACGAGGTAACTGCGACTTACATCATCAGCAAAATCGAAATTTTCGTCTCTAAGCTGGTGATTGTGAACAAGGAAATCGTTAGCATGCAGGATACTTGATAAGAAAGTGTTCAAAAGACAGTGCCATACTGTTCGTTTATGAGAGAAGTTTTGATCTCGAATCTTCTTCTTTTACTACACGTCAAAAGCCTGCGTATAAGTAAGTACATATGGTTATCCCAACTTGTGTACATATATCTATGCATGAATGCTTCGTCATGTTCTGATATTGTTAGAGACCAAGTTGGCCACTTTTACGACATACTGTTTTTCGTGTTTCCGACTTTTTATGCCAACCTTGATTTTTGCCAAAACCTATTTTCGAAGAATTGGGAGAAGGATATAAACTTAAAGTACATAAAAAATAATGCCATATTCATACGAATGCTCTCTCAGCAGCCCAGCGATTCTAAAGTTGCACTGAGGGGAAGCATCGAAAAGATTTTTAGTCCCAAGATTTCCAAATTGGCAGAGTCTCAAAAACTAAAAGCTGTTATATGCGATCACGTCGACAGGTTAGATGAAAAGAATCCGGTTCTCATGTCGCTGAAGGCCAATGATATATATAAATTTATCAAATGCTATCTGTTGGGAAGAACATGATCATAATTATCATGGATGATTTTCAGGCAAGACCCCCAGAACAATTTTAGTAAAAGTATTGGTTGCATGCCATATCTGGGCGCTCTTACAGATTTAAAAATCTTTTATTACTCGTGCTCTATCAGATCCAAACTGTTCAGATGCTGAGCTCAGCAGCTAAAACCCAAAATACAACAACAAATCACTTCGGCAACACCGACAAGATCTGCCTTATTATAAGTAACGAGTCTAGTACGGTATTAACTAGTATGATTTGCAGTACCACAGGCTTAAATTATGGAATAATAATGAGCTGATAACCAGCAAATGCCTCAAAAGACCAAATAGTGGGTTTAGATACATATCTTTTCAATGTATGTTTACTTACAAATACAAGAATGGTACTGATAGGTACATTTTCCGTTTTACACAGTATTACTGTTCAATACCAAGCCGTTTTTCTTTTCATTCATGATATGTTTGTATATATCCTTCAAAATCGCGTAATTCATAGTGTGGTTACCATTCATTTCCATAAAAATAATATTGCCAAAAAACCTGTTGTAAACGGAAACAAGAAAACGGACAAATTCAAGCGAAAACACTTCATCATTTTTGGCGCATATCATTATTGTTTTCTGCGCATGGTTTTTCTGGTAGAACAAATGTGAACTCAGATATGTGCACATACCAATGACAGCCATAAACTTTTCCGAATGTGTTAGTGCGGTATAGAGTGCCATCGCGCCACCTTGCGAAAAGCCGCATATAACTAATCGCTCCTTTGGAATTTTTAGTTCATCAATGAGTTTAAGGATTGTTTGGCGTGATTCATCCATGCTCTTACGCTCTTCATATATAACAGTCTCGTCGATTTTAAACTTATACCATGCGGTTACCTGCACCGGATTGTAAACAACAACCTCTTGTTTGGGAGCTTGCAGCAAAATAATTTGTGTTTCCGGGTATTCCCTTGCGATTGGCTCGAAGTACCCTATGATGTCTTTAGTCTTGGTATTCAGGCCATGCAAAAACAATATGAAGCTTTTTAAGGCTGTTGGATTCAAAATCTCATAAAATAGTTGCATGCGATAAACAATCATGTTTCTTTTATGTAACGCAATTTTACCTTTAAGAGCAGTATTTGTAAAAAATGATATGATAAATTACTGCACAACAAACAGTTTTCTGTGATCTTTGCTTGATGCAGTTGTACAACATGTCTGGTGAAACGCATTCTGATTAAACTTTACCGGATTGTGTCCAGAATTGACCAAAAAATGAATCTACACCACTATAATTATTTATAATTTTGTTAATAACGAACTAAATGGCATGACATGTGCGGCTCCAATGCTCAATCCCAGAAAGTTACTTTTGACACATTTGCGTAATATTACGGTTCTGTCTAGTACCTAACAATAGCAACTATTAATGCATATAAAACTTTTATTTGAAATGGTTTCCAGTAGAATTTCCATTTTTATTCCAAATTTAGCCGTTCAAGTCATGTTAACTAGGAACTACATCACTGGTTCACTGAATAACAATATTTGCATGCCAGTCAATCTCAATACGTCGTACACATGGAATTCGATACAGGCCATGAATATCGATAATGGTATTCGAGATACACAAAATTATCTTTTTTGGATTACTACTTTTAGCTAAACACGAGTTACCTGGATCGGGACCGAGTACTAAGAACTCTGTTCTTTTTGAAAATTAGATTCATTCACCAAAGTACATTTCAATTGATTGTTTATATCGTCATTGTACTATTATGAGGTACGATGTAATTTAACTGATCGATAAAAATTTTTTTCTCGCACGAATTGTGAGTCATAAACACGAACAAATTTTTAAAAAATCAGGTTTCTTGACAAATAGATACATGAATCATAAATCAGGCTTAAAGTATGGTGTAAACCGAGTCTGTCCAGAAATATGTAAGCTATAAAAGCAATGTGGACGCATCAAAGAACATTGTGCAAGAAAACACTATTCATTGTAGAGAACTACGTAAAAAGCTTCATGTTTAGTTGACTAACCCAGTGAATCTAAGTAGTCCATGCCAATTTTCTCCCTTAATTTGGGTGACACTCGTGCCACCTCTTTCAAAGCTTCTAGCTTGGCTCTGTTAATCGGTGGCATTTGTTTGATTTCACTATGAGTGGTTAGTAATTTAAATAGGTTGTTGATGTCGTCGTCGGAACATTGAATTGCAATTATTTTTTCGCTATTAATATCAACAGAAATGCACATGTCTTTTATCATGAACCGAACTTCTCCTTTCGGCCGCTGCACAACCATGAATAATTGATCCTCCGTCTTTTTTTCTTTGTCAAGATAGATTGTAAGACCGGCATTTTGTTCTGTCTTCAATTTCTCCATTTCAACTGTAAGCGTCATATCATCGGCTTGAATGTACTCCTCATTGATTTTTCCACTCGCCTTAAGATTAAATTCGCTTGCTTCTTTAATATCATCAACAAGTTCAGGTTCCTTATTTGTCTTTGATTTTGCCATAAATTTTTTCGTAGAAACGTTCTGTATGTAAAAAGAATCTGCAAAAGCAGCCAGAATATGAACAAAAAACATAAAATTATACATATTTGCTTTTTTAAAGAGAACTAATGCAGCATACGTGTGAAATGTCAAAATTATAAAAACTGAAAGTATGAAATAAGAAGTCTATGACAAATCTTGTGTCCTTACGTTCATTACACGTTATTCAATGCAAGAACCTGCATCTAATACGATACAATGGTAGCTTTTTTCGTGAACTATGATATTTCTCTTGTTTGCTATGTCCTAATTACATGCAGGGATAGTAGGCGTTCCGAAACAATTTTTGATGGAATATGTTTTTCGAAAAGAACACTCGATAACCATAATTGAACATATAAAAGAACGAATTATGATACATAAATCGATTATATATGTATTTTAAAGTCATGCTCTAAGAAATAGTGCTGGTTTCATTGTCTGTATCATACAAAGCATAATTAACAGATATGTTGCTAAAACGGTGCATTGTTATCAATTTCTCATTGTAAATATACTATCTGGCCATTATTCACCTGTCAGTAAGCTTACTTGCGATATATGGCTGTACATATGTTTGATTTCCACAAGATTAAATTCACCGATTTCATAAATTGGCACATTTTTGGTAGAATTTACCCCGCTAATTATTTAGGAAATAAACAGCCTTGCTTACCTTTTGAGCGATTTGTTCAATGAAGCATTTTCAGTAAATGCATTCCCTTCAAATGAAGCCTACTTTCGATAAAGTTATGTATTACGCACAGAATAGATATAATTTCAAGGTTTGGCATTCACAGCAGTTGTAATTTATTCATTAATTTATCTTTATAAACAAATGATTGTATATACGTAACCCTATAACACAGTAAACATATTAATGTCGTTCAACAACGTGGTTGCAGATCCCAAAAACATTGTGCTCATCGATCACACATTAAAGTACAAGAAACCTATGATAACACTATCGTTTGAGCCGTGCATGGTGACATCCCTAAACGTATCAAACAATAGGAACGTTTTAAACGTAAAGCTAAAAAATAGGAAAATATCGTTCAAAGACAAAGTGTACATTTATGAGATCATGGATGAGCTGAAGATAAAGATTGGCGATATTGATAAGGAAGTTGCAAGGGAGCAGAAAATTGCTGAGCATCCCACAGAATTGTTCGTAACTAAGAATACAAAGACGTACAAGTACGCAGGCAAAGATGCACCAGAGGACGAGGATACCAGCGAAAAAAATGATATGGCTGACGAGGACCACTTTGATACCTATGGGGTTTTTAATGTGGCAAATAACGTTTCCAGAGATATCTTTGTACAGAACAGTGGATTGCCTGTAAAATTGCTCAATAACATTGTGCTCTGGGGAATAAAATTGTCGAAAAACGAAATTGATGATTACTACCGCTCCATAAGTGTTAAATGTTCCAAAGTGATCAAAAAGTACTTGGATTATCACAAAATGAACTATAGTGTCGCATATGAAGATGAGATACTCACGAATATAAGAAAATTGCTGAAAAATGGTGAAATAGGCGAGATAGAAAGGATTTTAAGGAACATTCTTGAAAATAACTCTCAGATGATCAACAATGGTCCCTACGAAGTGAAAATAGATACTAACAACGCCGCAGATGAGGTTATGAGTGGGCAGTGCTTTTACATCGAGGATGAGAGTTGCCAGAAAATCATCTCATACGATAGCTCATTCAAAGATTTGGGTATAAAAGCGAGTAAACACCAAGAACACGTGAGCAATGACGTAAATTTAGCAGCTATCACGAATTACTATCCAATGGTTGGTAAGATTTTTTTTTTCACGCTAAGAAACATTTTATACATCGTGAGAGAAAGTAAAATAATCAAGAAATTGGAAATAAACGAGCTGAAATGGATAAACAACCATAAAATAGCTTTTTACGATAATAAAATATTGCTGATCGGTGGCTCGCGGAGTATGAGTGGAGTCGATGAATATAACACAATAATTGAAATCAGATTGAACGATTGGCAGCCTGAGCTATTAGAAGATACGGATGACGATAAAAATGATATTTACAACTTTGCGGATATTGCTGAATGCACAGAAGACTATGAAATCAGCGTTAACTCGGATTTCTATCCCAGAACAAAATTTAATTCTCATCTCTACGGCGATATACTGATCGTGATAGGCGGTAAGTACGGCAAAAGCCGTCTGAATTTTATCGAATACTATCATCTAAAATACAAAAAAGTTGTAAACCAGGTACCATTTCCCCTAAAAAGCAATGATCTGAGAATCAACAGTGTACTTAAACAAAAAACGATTCTCATAGTTTTTAGCTTTGATACAAGAAACTTACTGTACGCATTCGAAATAGAAACTTTTAAATGGGAATATATCGCAAATTTGGGGATAGATCTCCGAGCTAGCTTGGTATTGGGAACTGAAGAGAGTGAGTGTGGTGTGGGTATCGTGAGAAAAACACGGATGAATGGTGAAAAAGAGCTGTATAAGAAGTGTCAGGTGATAAGTTTGGGCATAGCGAATATGGAAAAGTCTCCAAAACCAAACTATCCGAGTGTTTATAGCCAAACCAACATAGATGAAGACGTTTATACTTTTTTCATTTTGAAAGCATCCAAGCGCTATACGGTGACAGTAAAAAGGAGAAATAAGCTTGATTTACTCGATGAATTGGTAATAAAACTGCGCAGCTATTTCTTCCTGCAAAAATATGATTTGGAGTATGCGCAACGTAAGATTTTTCCATTGGTGAGGAGAAATGAGAAGTTCTATAGGACGTTGATGATAAAGTGTTATTCGGAGGAAAAGGTGTCTTTTAATGATATTTTTGAGGAGATAAGTAATTTTTTCGTGGAAGACATGCGAATGCCAAGGGAGAATGTAGAAGATTTGTTCAAATAAATGAACCTCTAAAAATTCTTGGGTTGTTTTACTGTTGATCAGAGTCGGAATTCTAGGCTTTTTAAATTTGTTCTGAAAGAATACCGCTGTTACTCCTGTTTGGTATTTCAAATTGATGGTACAGGATAAGGGATTTTCCTTCTGCAACGAGAAATAAAGAATAAGATAAATGTGGCTTGAGTAGGTCTTTTGTATCAGTACTATACTTGTAACCGCATTGCGAAAGAAATTTCATTTATACTTGTTGTCTATCGTCATGATGTATTTGCAACTTTTGAAGCTTTTTATAGGTTTTTAGAACCATGGCAGTAAAATAAATGTGGCACATCGTATCAAACTTGATATTTCCTCGTTTGAAACCAATTTTATATCCTGATTCTTTAGAAATGATTGTTTGGTGAACTGATAATAAAGATTTATAGTGCTACCATCACACAGTGTTTTTCGATGTTCTGTTCGTGTCGTTAATGAACCATTTAATGTATTGACTGGCGTATGCATCATAAATCACAAAGTTACTATTTTTTATCCATTTATAGATGTGATGTCATTTTGCTGCTCACGCAGACCTGTTTAATTAGGAACACCAGTGAGCACCAAGAATTTTTGGATAACAATACGTAGATTGCAGTTTCACGACGTCATAAATACAAATACCACCTAGTTGCATCGAGAATGTTTCAGGTTCTTTATATAATAAAATACATGAAAGCTCACAATGATGATCATATTTATCGGTCTAATGTCAGCACACGAATTTCACCTGAAAAAAATCGATGGCGATCTGTATGTGGGCGAGAAGGGCGAAGATATAACATTGGTGGAACTATCCGGGGCGGATACATTCGAGCTTAAAGAAACCGGGATCGTAAACGAAGATTTTATCCGAGTCAAGTCAAAAGACAATTACGTTTGGGATCTGAAGGGCGGTGGTAAAAAACTTATATACTGGTTTAATCCACATGGGGGATGGAATCAGCAGTTTTCCCTTCATCAACGACCGGAGGGACATTTTAAAATTGTTGCTTCAAATCAGATGTGCGTTACATATAACACACTTCTCAACTACTTCGTGATAGACGATTGCAAAGAAAAGGAGGAATCTCAGCTATTCGATATGGTAGATATTGGCACAAAACCACAATCCAAATCAAATCAGACTGAGAATACAGATTTGAAGTCTTCAGAAAAGGCTGTTATTGATCAACTATCAGCACGAATTTATGAATTGAACCATCAATGTAAGATTAATGGTGAACTAATAGCAAATCATCCAAAAGAGGACAAACATGAAGTGTGCCATTCAACCAAAATAATGCCTACTCCTCCATCACCACCTCCTACTCCCGATACAAGTTTCGTACCTAACATACACCCGATTCGGCATCGATTGTTCAATAACATGCTTCCGTAGTAAATAAAATAGCTGCAAACTATTGTTCTCGCTTAACTTACAAGAGTTATGTCATTCTTCAGCATGGGATACGCACATACTATGATACTATCGTAGTAATTCGCAACAGATATCGAGATTTTAGATATTTGAGTTGATCACAGACAAGCATTCACAGTTACCTGATATCGATTAAATCCATGTCAAATAAATAATAGTCAGAAATGCCGATTATTCCTACAAGTTATCACTTATGAGCGAATGATATTTCGAGCGAATGTATGGCACCAATTTTAGCAAATATTAAATTTGATTTGCTTCTATCTCAGCTATAAACATTGTTTTGCACGTATTTTAACAGGTATCATGCTGGTGCACGTATTCACAGAGTCAATTTGTGTTACGGTGCCCTTAGAGATGCTTTGGCGCATATTAAACCAATACTTGATCAAAAATATTGGAAAAAATGACTTATTCTTCGCTGTATACGAAACAGGACTTACATTTTTTGGCAACAATTATTTTGTTATGACATCTACGATATCCACGCATTCTTGGTACTGAACTTCAGTACTTTTGATGCGCAATCTTGTGTCCAACCCGTATTTGTGTTTTTAAATGTGTATTGGGTGCGATGTCCGTCATGTAAAGACCCGAAAAATACATTCTTAGGACCATTTATATAAATTTTTTGAACATTCCGGAGTACCACAGCAAACAAAGCGGACTGGCGGTGTGATGAAAGTTCGACAAAACAATTGATGATTATACGGACAGCTTAGTCTTAATTATTTAAGACTTGTGGTTTCTTTGCGGTAATATTCGCTCAACACCGATAAATGTTGTTATTACTTGTATAAATCTATTCTTACATTTTCTTCCAATGGCACTCAGCCCAATAATCATTAATGATTGTGTTTCACATAAACTTAACCTCGAATTATCAGCTCAACTTTTATTTAAAACCGATTATCTTGATAAAATGAAAAGTGGGGAGAGCGAACACAATTTCGTTACACGTATCAGTCAAAACAAGTTATATGGTCTAACACCTGGTTCGATTCCGAATAATATTCTCTTTATCTTTGTTTCGTAGTGGTAGAAACTAAAATAGACTACGAAAAAATAGATTTTTATTAGTGCTTCATTCTATAAAAGCTACAGATCGTGTTTTGGGTAGGATTCGTTCGATATTTCTTGAAAAACTGTTGTTTTGGCACGCAGAGAATCAATACTGTTTATTTTTGCTGATTGCAAGGCACGAATGGCCGTGTGTGCGAAGTTCTTCTAATCAACGATTACTTATATCTAATCATACAATGCTATCACCGAATTAGTTTATCTATAGTTTCTGTCACAGAATAGCTTATTTAAACAGCGGGTGTTCTTTGATTATGTTTGTATATCTCGTCTCGCTGTTAGCATTCAGGTTCCAGCTAAAAAGAATTGACCGCGACACTTACATTGGCCAAAGTAACGGAAACATCACGTTTGTGGACCCAGACGAGGCAGATATTTTCGAGCTTGAGAACACCGATCACCCAAATGAAGATTTTGTAATGGTGCGCTCCAAGGATAACAAAGTATGGGATATATCTGGCAATGCCACCAAACTCATTTATTGGTCAGACAGACATGGGAAAGTCAACCAGCGGTTTACGCTTCTAGAGCGACCACAGGGCCATGTAAAGGTAGTGAGTGATATGAAGCTCTGCATAACATTCGACCAGTCAGCCAATAATTTCGTCAGAGCGCCCTGCGATGACAATAACCCACACCAACTTTTTGATTTTGTGGGCGTTGAAAGTGAGAGCCAACCGGAAGGCGTGGTTGTGGAAGAATCGAAACTGAATGCGCTGAAAATGGCAGCATCGAATTGTCCAGAAATAAGAGATATGCTGGGTATGGAATTTATAATGGGAGTGTGAGAGTCATAGGGAAGTATGGCATTGGAAGATGAAGAGATGGTGCTGTCAAACAGAATTAAATAAAACCTACTAACTTATTTTCTTGGCAGGTGATGCTATGAGCTTTAAGATTGTCTGAGAACTTGAATCAATTATTTGATGCTGTCCATGGGACAGGTGTGAGCAACCCATGAATATACGTGAGCGGAAAGTTTTCCATAGTATACACAAAATTCTTTATACCGCACATTAAAGGACAAATATAGTTGGAATAGCCTTTAACACGAGTTAATGATTGATCAGAAAGGATGTTTTACTAATTCTCATTGTAACCAATTAAATACTTGTGTTGGAGGCAAACCTTTTCATTTCTTATGTCTGTGAGGTGATAATTGAACCGGCTTTCAAAAAATCTTTTCCCACACCCTTCCTTGTCTTTCCATCGCTGATAAGCAGGAAAAGCTTTTTTAGCCGTGATGAGGGAGAAGAAAAGGTGCAGGGTGGTATTACGCACTTTTCACCTCAATATCATCTGTGCTCGTGGTCTAGTAACGGGCATTGTCAAATGATAACCGCGCAAGCATTCTTTACTGCATAGACAAGAAGTTCATATGGAGTGCTTCACACTGAACTGCCATAGCTCATCAGCGAAGAACTCAGATTCCAAGGCATCGCATCGGTTCGTGGTTTTCTCCGTGGGTTAAGCACTCGATTTCTAAACAATTTCGCTCTCATCCGGTACAAAGTACGTTATGAATATTTTAGCAGATCGCGAGAACGATACAACACTTTCTCACGTTCAAAGCACGTCCTTTTTGTATTTGACCTACGCATTGGCGAGCCCCGCTTTCTATCGCCATTGAGAACCCGTTCGAGCGAACACCGGTGAAATGGTAATATTTCATTACCTGGGCAGGAGACCCGTACCAACGGGCCTCTGCAGCACCATCATGTGATGAAGAAACCGTTTTGTTCTATGATAACTCAGAGAGATGGCACTTCCGGCAAGTGCCGTAAGTTCAAAAGCAGTTGTTCTTAAAACAAAAAATGGAGCAACACTTCCTGTGATACGGAGCGCCTGACAAGCATATTAAACGCATAAACCGCCAATACATGAGTTGAACATCAAATTACCTCCTTTTATTTCCAAGACCATCTAAAACCTTTTTTATATCTCCATAAACCTCTTCAATACCTCTGTTCCCGGCAATCTCCGTTAAAACCTTCCTTTCCTTCAAATGCTTGACCACAGGCAACGTATCCTTCATATACACCTTGTACCTCATCGCCGCAGTCTCTCTGTTATCATCCGACCGCCCTTGGTTTCTTCCCACGATTCTTCTCACGCATTCCTCCTCATCGAGCGAGAGAAACACCGCAACATTCACCTCCTCCATAGACTTTGCCTGCTTCATAGTTCTGGGATACCCATCCAAAATGTAACTACCAGGCAACTTCGAGTGCATCATCTCGATAATCAGATCATCAGGAACCAGGCAGCCCGTGCCCATGTACGGCTTTATCCTCTCGGCGAGTTCGCCGCCCTCTTTAGCAATACTGCGCAACATATCGCCAGTGCTTATATGCCTTAGATGATAATCAGCAGATACCTTTGCGCTTTGTGTGCCCTTGCCACAGCCTGGTGGTCCAATTATTAAAACTTTCATCGATGGATTACCGGTTTGTTTAATTTTTATATTTTAATAAAATTTTTGTTGCGATAGCGAAATGATACGCTAAATTGATTGACAAGAACGGACAGCAGAAATAGACCGCATACACCACGCCTCACTACGATGCTCCTCGTTCGAGTAGCGACCCCCATTTATTAAAAAATGTCATGATGACATGACAGTTTGGTTGCCGGTATCAAGCCAACCGCTTTTGCTGCGCTCTGTGGCTATGAATGCATTCTTAGTGTTTCAGCGTTATTCACACGGTATTTTTACGTTTTTGTGCTCGTCATTTTATTTATTTTGCCTTTTTTTATTTCTGTAACGGTCTTTAACAAATTTAGCTTTTCTTTTAAATCACCAACACAAATATTCAACAAAGATGGGCACCATAAAAAGTCAGCTTGGTGCTTTAAACCGTGTAGAACGTAATCATTTCCGCTTCACCGTGCAGCACAAGTAGGCACACTCTCCATTTCCAACACACAATTTTTAAAAACTGTTTATATGCGATTGCACAACACATCCGCATGCTCAAAATATCTTTCCTAATGCTGATAGCATTACAAACACGTATAAAACGATCAAAAGTGTGGATCAGTGGCATCAGCATCTCTTTTTTTACCGCGTATCTCCTGTCAATTAAGAAAATTGTGGCATCCGTATCAAAGTATCGAATCGCTCGCAGAAATAAGACGTAGAACGCAAGTTGCACGGCGTTTATTGCCATGTTATCTCTGAACACTCCTAAAACGGACCTGTTGAGAACTTCACAACAATAAATACTTTAGAAAAAGGCAAGAGATCAAATGCGAACAGAAGTATAAATAAAAACATTTGTGGCACCAAAAGAGTGCATTTCTATTGAGCACGTGCACAATTTGTTCTTCAAATCGCTTACCTACATCTTCGCACATTAGCAACGATAAAATGAGTTTATTCCCGAAATATACCGAGTCAAGTGCAGGAATACCCAGACAGGCCCAATTTCCAAGCGGTAATACTTTGCAATATTTTTTATTTTATTCTTTGGTTGTTTCAGCGCCATGGAATGGCGCTAACTATCGGTTTCAAATCTTTTTTATAGTCTGAGTTGCAGTTTGTCCATGACTCACGGGTATCACTTCATAGAACGTATGCTTATTTTGAACTATAATACGTTGATATAGCGTTAAATACATCAGTCCGCTTTTTATTGGAGAAACAGGCACTAACCCTGTACATCAATAAAAAGGAAATGGAATGAATGCACACCAAATAAGTAAATACAATGGCGCACCACTTAAGGCATCTTGGCCGAGCGGTCTAAGGCGTCTGACTCAAGTTCAGATTTGGGTAACCAAGCGCGGGTTCGAATCCCGCAGATGCTACTTTTTTAAGTAAAGTGTGCCCACAAATTGCGTGCCATTTCATTCGTGCGTCGTGACCAAAGAATCGTTGCTTTTTGCTAAAAGCTGTTTACTTGCCTCTTACATAGCACACTACCCAAACAACACCTTGGTTAACAATGCTGCCACACTTCACAGGCACAATGCCCCAGTCATCAGAGGCCAAACTTTTTTAAAAAATGCCCAGTACAATGACAGATCACCGTTCGACAGAGAACGCACCATGCGCCAAAAACAACATCTCACATAGAATACAAGGTTTAATCAAAGACTGTTCCGTGTCGCGTGATCATCGCCTACAGACCACGCAGCCCCATCCCATCTACGAATCGATCCAACACGCCACAGCCACAGCCCCATCCCATCTACGAATCGATCCAACACGCCACAGCCACAGCTCTATCCCATCTACGAATCGATCCAACACGCCACAGCACATACACCAAGTACATCCTACGGCTCCGCTTTAAAAACAATTCACAAGCAAGCACGCCTCATCCTACATCATCATTATATAATTTATTTACCAGCACAGCAAAACATCAGTCCTTCCCGACCATGACCTGCATCAAATTGAAGAAGAACTTGGGCAGCTGCTCCTCACCAAACACGAGCTCCTCCATCAAAAAGTCTGGCAGCTCCACGCAACCATGCTCGATCAGTTCGTACTCGTAGTTCTTGCCGTTCTTCACGAGCCTAAAGTTTATGTATCTATCGTATGCGCTGTACGTTACGATGAAGCGGTCCTTCGCAGGCTCAGTAACCGTAAAGCCTGTCAATCGGGAGGTAGCGGATGACGCGTTCGTCTTAAGGAACGCATTCTCTTCCCTGTACGCCTGCAACAGCTCATTTTCTATGTGAATGATTTCGTTGATAGGCGAGCCCGCATCACGCACATCTCTCCTATCTTTGGTATTTGCCACATTTTCTTTCGTGTCCGTAGCACTGCTCTCGTCATGAACGTTTACCATGTTCTTTTTCGTGGCCCTGCTACCTCCTCGGTGCATGCCGCTGCTCATGTCCTTTTTATCGCGTCCAAGCGCTTTCCTTCGTCTGCTCCTCCGCTCACCAACCTGTTGCTCATCCTCTCTCCTCGTGTACACGTCATCTCCATGCCGTGCCAAGCCACCACTCCGCTGCTCAACACGCTCATACTCGCCACTCACATACTCAACAGTCTCGCCATCGTCACAACCCGTTCCTTTCTCATCATCTCGCTGTATGCATCTCACCTTCTTTTTTGAGGGTGTGTAAAATGCCACTTTTTTTTTGCGCGGCGTTTTCATTTTGAGGGGTAGCCGTAATTTTTTGTGTTTGTTTGTTTCGTCTGGCCGTGGTTTGGAGGTAAAAAACAAACGCATGGATTTGTGGAAGGGCAGCGCTAAAAATGAAGAGCTGCTTTTGTGCCGTGTTGAGCGTATTTCATGGTTTCAATTCTTTTTTGCTGCGTTTTATGTTTTGTGCCGTTTAACGTCAAATTACGTGGTAATTCCTATTTTGTGATGTACTTCAATAGTTCGTGCTTTATAATTCTTGACCATCCCTTCCTCAGTGCTGTGTTTCACCGCTTCTCTCTCCACTTTGTATCTTCGCACTTTACTCCCTGCACCGCACATGCCCACGCCTCTGCACCACGCATTAATTGGCCCAAACAATTCCGCTGCTACCCAAAAAATTTATTTTTTTTCATCCCCAAGAAAAATGGCACTCGATATCCAAACACTCGCACACTTCAACAACAGACTGCTCAACCGCCAGGAACTAACCCTGCTCGTATCACATCCCGCCCAGTCCTTCAAAAAGGCTGATCTGGCCACCGTTCTCAAGAAGAAGTACAATTCCAATTATGTGATAATACACGGCAGCAGGACCGAGTTTGGCACGTGCCAGACCAGGACGGTAGCGCGTATTTATGAGAGTAAGGAGCAGTTTGAGAAGATTGAGGATTGGTTTGTGCTCATAAGGGAAGGTATGGCGAAGAAGGATAAGGAGGCGAGGAGAGTCAGGAAGGATAAGAGGAAGAGAAGAGTGGCAAGCTGGGGAAGTGCGAGGAGACAGGAGAAGAAAGCGGAGAGAAAGCAGAAGTAAAGATTTGGATTGTTGGATGACTGTCTGCCGTTCCCTTTTTATGGCATTTTATCGCTGTGCACCGTGTTACGGATGTATTCCTTTATTATACGGTACCGTGCCGTATGCGTCGTACTGCATGGTCATCTTCCCGTTTCTCCACCAATTCTCATCTCTTCATAAATTTTATGGTATCCCCGTTGTTACGAATACCTTGCTATGAGAACCATTCTAATTTTTTAAATTGATCTGACGAGGCAATGATTTGGTAATTACGCTGGAGATAGCAACGTAACAGTGCACACTTTTTATGTTCATGCAATGCATGGAAATGTTATTTAGTATGGAAGAAATTAATTTTTAAAACAATGCCAGTTTTATTGTTTGAAAAGAGTTTGTCCAAAATTACTGTTCATTTGCGCTGCTACCACACCTCACCACTTGTAATAAACGCATTTACTCACCACTTGTAATAAATGCATTTACTCACCACTTCATGCTCAAACACAATTTTCTGGCATTTTCTACTAAACCACCTTTAATTACACTTATCTTCCTTGCTGTCCCTTCTAACCCTGTTCATCACACCTTTCATAAGCCTGCCCAGCAAGGTTTCCCTCTTGGCGTTTCTCACAGGCACAAAAACCTCATCATTAGCGCTCAACGACACATAAAAGCAAAACGGCGTAAGCCACACAAACACAAAGAAGTACACCACGACCTCAAGCACCCAATAGTTCAGGATAAGCAGTCTCAACACCAAAAAGTGGTTGACAAGCGCAAGCACCGTACCAACAATCAGGTACGGATCCATAACACCAAAATTGGGGTACTTGAGCAACAAATGATAGAAAATGTACTGCACGCTGAGCGAAAATACGATTTGAAAGATGTTCACCGAACGGAACAGCAGAAAGACGTGTAATACCGATACCGTGAGAATGATGTTTTCAATTTTCTTGCGGGCGGCAATCGCGTGATCCTCTATATATATGACCGTGTGGTACAGCAGAAGAGCTACTGCTATTATTATGGTGGTGATTAGGAGGAGTATGAGAACTGATTGGACGAATAGAAGCAGCATGGAGAGGGGGGTGGAAATAAATTGTAAATTTTGTTAATTGTGTATGGGAAGTGAGTGAGGTGATGTGAATGGGGATATGGGGATGTGGTGAATGGGGATATGGGGATGTGGTGAATGAATGAGAAGAAGAATGAGAATGAATGAGAAGAAGAATGAGAAGGAGAATACATATCTGAAATGAGAATGAATGAGAAGGAGAATGAATGAGAAGAAGAATGAATGAGAAGAAGAATGAATGAGAAGGAGAATGAATGAGAAGGAGAATGAATGAGAAGGAGAATGAATGAGAAGGAGAATGAATGAGAAGGAGAATGAATGAGAAGGAGAATGAATGAGAAGGAGAATGAATGAGAAGGAGAATGAATGAGAAGGAGAATGAATGAGAAGGAGAATGAATGAGAAGAAGAATGAATGAGAAGGAGAATACATATCTGAAATGAGAATGAATGAGAATATATGTGTGAAATGAGAATACGTGTGTGAAATGAGATAAGGTGGTATTTGTATAAAAATTAAAATTAGAGGTGTAATTCTAGCGAATGAAGAGGCAACAGAAATAGCTCAGCTAGTAAAAACATAAAAGAAATACGGTAAGGCAACGTAAAGCGTGGTAGTAAAAATAATTTAGGGGTAAGGATCAACAAAAAACAAGAATAGAAAAAGTTAATGTTTAATTCTGAACTTCCACGCATTCAAGGAAGGTAAAAAAATATTATTTACCACAATGCAAGGAATGTGTTCATAAATCTAGTTTATGGGAAGGATAGGTGAAAAGAGGAAAAAAAAGAAATGAATGGTTGATATGAGCATATTTGTGGTGGAAGAAGGGAATGTTAGTGGTACAACATAAATAAACGTACTTTTTGAAGTGGTAGCACAGAATAGAACAGCACGGCTATAAAATTAACATTTATCCACGCTTAAGATCAAAGCATCATTTTGGCAGTGAGCAGCAGTTCACACACCAATACGGAACTAAATGCGTTTATTATTCCCACAGAGCAAGGAGGTGAACAGAGTACGTACTGCTCGGTTATCCTTTGGTTTACCATGTATGGTAATACTGCTCGTTGCGTATCACGGGCAGTAGAATGAAAACACATCTCTTCGCACCTTCTTATCACTTCAAGTTAATAAATTTATTATTTTCATTTTCTTTACTTTTTATCAGCAACACATCTCTTCGCACCTTCTTATCACTTCACTTACCCCTTCACAGCACTGCTCCCGCTCTCTTCATCAAACTATTGCCATAGCGAGCCAATGCCAAGCTCTTCGGCATTTGCACAGCAAAAATATTTTTTAAACCGTACATACGCTGAGAGCCGTACGATAAGTTGCAGGGCAGGTATTGAACTATCGTTGTGGAGCGAGAGAGTACGGCTGGACCGGTACATAAACGAATGTTATGCAGGAGTGTGATAGGGTAAGTATGCTATACCTGTCTGTACACGGAGTAACGGTGCGATGCTAATCCGTTTATATAACGGTTTCATACCTCTGCTGCAACGTGATGGCAGTCTCTGCGCTAACGCGTGATGAACCGGTGACTGAAAAGAATCTCTGATCTCGTTCTGTTCATCTTTGATGAGCGTTATCGAAGGTAAAACGCTCATTAAAGTTCCAATGCTTGTTTTGCTCCACGCTGTATTAAATTGCCGTTTGTGAGGATCGAAGAAACGTACGTTGAACGAGTTTTTACCATGGTGTGCGGTGCTTGGGTCCAAAGCGGTAACTGATACGAATAACGGGTGATACACGGTTTAACTTGGGTAGGTCCATTAGGTGGGTGAAGAGACCGGCACGACGAATAAACGAGATAAGCAAGGCAGAAGAAAGTGCATTCCTACAGTCCCATAAAAATTACATTTTTGGTTAATACGTGCTAATCCCACATCTAAGCTCACTCCATTACCACCCCTTTCCTTTCTTTCACCCGTACTTTTATCCTCTTCTCTGCTCATATTACACCATATTATTAACACCCGTCCAATACAACAACACGCTTTGTCTCCTTTACCATCAGATCGCCACATTCATCAACCAATACAAACCATCAATCAGCTCAAATCATTGGTCAGCTCAGAAAAAAATTCGATTTAAAGAAAGATGGGAAGCATGAATCATGCAGGCACGTAAATCAAGTAGAAGAAAGAGTATAATGATAGTGGAGAAGGACAGGACACAGGGTGAAATCGATAAGAAACCGGATGAGGCTAGGAAATTGAGGAATGAAGAGGGTAAGAACGGTGCTGGGGATGAGCATGCGGATGATGGAGTGAATAGTGAGAAGATAGTGGCTGAGAAGGAGGCTGAAGCAAAGAAGGTTGAGGCGGAGAAGGATGCTGAGGCTAAGAAGGTTGAAGCTGAGAAGATAGTGGCTGAGAAGGAGGCTGAAGCAAAGAAGGTTGATGCTGAGAGGGAAGCTGAGGCTAAGAAGGTTGAAGCTGAGAAGATAGTGGCTGAGAAGGAGGCGGAAGCAAAGAAGGTTGATGCTGAGAAAGAAGCTGAAATTAGGAAGGTTGAGGCTGAGAAGGAAGCTGAAACTAAGAAGACAATAGCTGAAAAAGCGAAGAAGGAAGAGGAAATGAAGAAGGAAGAGGAAATGAAGAAAGAAGAGGAAATGAAGAAGGAAGAGGAAATGAAGAAGGAAGAGGAAATGAAGAAGGAAGAGGAAATGAAGAAAGAAGAGGAAATGAAGAAGAAGGCTGCCGTGGGAATAAAGCCTGAGGGTGCCGAGCAGGATGATAAACAGAAGAAGGTGCACTTCGAAGAGCAGAAAAACGAGCAAAGAGACGTATCCAAGGACCCTTCGAAATCAATACAGTCACCCACACAGGAACAAACAAAGCAGCAGTTAGAAATTAACACAGGTGCCGTGCCTTTATCAGCGCTCACACCAAACACAGAACTATTCGTTCTACGAACTACCAATCGGATCGTGCTGGAAGGCCCCATCAGCAAAAGAATGCTTTTCTTCTCGTGTTTCTGGCACAAGCGATATTTCGTGCTTACGAGTGATGGTATTCTGTGCTATTTCAGGTCACTTGATGGACGGGGCAAAGGAAAACTGAATTTGAGACAGGTGAACGACGTAAGGAGGATTAATGAAGAAACCGGTGGTTCGAACAAGTACAAAATTGTCTTGCGATACGACGGGTATACCGAAAGTATACGCTTTGATGACGAACGTATAAGAGACCAGTGGAACAGCAAGATCAGAGAAGTTAAGGATACTTTGAATGGGTAGACTGGTGAAGGAGCAGAAATGTTAAATAAACATGATAATGAAAACGATTTTTACCGTTTTCGATCAAAATTGGCACGATTTAGCTTTTTGACACGTGCCCATCAATCCTGGGATTATCTCCGCCATGACCGTGTAACCCCTGGGTTTCGTATGGCGTGCCTTCATCTCGGATGCTGATATGCACCGGCACTCCTGGCCTGTTGAGCGCCATGCTCGCCTGCCAACGATAATAAATCAATTTATGAATGTCACCGCTCTCCGCCTGTCATCCACAGATTGACACCCATCCACTTCATAAGAAATTACAATGAACCAATAAGAACATATAACGGATCGTACAGCAGCAGCACGGGGTGTATTATCAAATCAAGCTACCGCATTTTAAGCTCCAAATAAATGTTTATTATCAAAACGGGCATCACAGCCATGTCCTACACCAATCCATTCACATTCTCAAACATCATAGGATCATCCTTAAACATCTCGTACCCGCTCTTAATACGCTCCTTCTTCCTCTCAAACATCATCTCCTCCCTCTCTCTCCTATCCACAAACCGGTCATACTCCTCCTTACTCAACAGCTTGTCACTCGCCACGCTCGCCCTCTGCATCTCCAAAAACTCCTCGATGTTCTGTCTCTCCTCTATCACATGCACATCCCCGCATCGCTCAGGACATGTCCAGCCCTGGAAATACGACTTGTTGTGCAGTGCATCCACCAAATACCTGCACACCATTACGCTTTTAACGGGCTGTTCAACCACTTCTTGCGGTTTTTGAACGACCGGCTTGACGGGCCGCATGTTCTGCTCGGCCTCGCGCTCCTTCTGGCGCTCCTGTTGCTCCTTCTTCTGTAGTTTTTCAAGCAGATCAAGCTTTTTGAGCTGAGCACGCAGCGTTTTTGACTGTTTTTGGCCATAAGCCTTTTCTTCAAGTTCTTTTTTCATCTCTTTGGTCGACTTTACGTCCTTTTTTGACTTCGGTTGCGCCTCCTTACTTTTCTTGGGCATTTTGGAAGGGTCCCGTCCGCTTGACGAAATATGCCGGCATTTCGAGGTGTTTTACGCTTCCCGCCATGTTTTGTTGGTGTAACGAATTCATTCGTTACGATTCGCTGAGAGCCGTGTATTTGTGTGCACACATCAGCAACACATAAAGAAATGCATTTCCATGTTGCACTCAGTGCTGTGTAAGGGTCGTTAACATTTTTGTAACTCGCGTCCGCTCCGTTTCTACTGTTACACGGTGCAAGGCGCTCTCCCACTTGTGCTCCCAAGAGCGGACAGCTGCCAGGGCGCAGTCAGCGGTGATTCGCCGTAACCTGTCGGTAAAGTGGTGTAAGATGTGCTGTTATAAGAAGTAGATTTAATATTTAGATGCTATCTTTGTGGTCATTGTCTTTGTTGATCGGCGTTTGATCCGCTAAGCCTTGATCGGACATCGTTTCTTCATCTTTGGTTTCCTCATGTTTTGGGCCGTTTTCGCACGCTTCGTTTGCATCGAAGTCTTCTGACGCGTTCACACATGCTTGATCGTGCAAACGCTTCTGAGTGCCAAGATTTAGAAGGAACCACCAACTGCAACGAGCACTGATGGCCAATAAGATCATAGCTACTGAAATGAGTACTAACGGATAAAGCGGCAGATCTTCTTGTTGATGGTTGGAGGGATCGCAGGGAACGTTATCGCCCGGCATATCTGCCACTCCATTTCCTGTGCACTCCGTTGTGAGCGGTGTGTGCAGTTCTTGTTCGTTTTTGAGCGGGTTGTTTGTGAAATTTGACATGGACCGCCATCCGCTTTCTTCGTATTTATAGCCCAAATTTGACGTTTTAGCCTAATTGACCGAGTGGACGTAACACCGGGCAAGTATCTACGTTGATTGTTCTAGGCAGACGAACACATCTTTCTGGGCATGCCGATCTCAACAGGCTATCCGGGCTTGACCTGTACCACGGTGCTGTGCTATCAAATTTAAAGGACGAGTTGATTGAACGGTTGCAGCAATTCCGTTGGGGCAGCGGAGCTGAGTATGTCCTGCTTTAAGGCAAGCGTATCATTTTGTATTGCTGTAAGCTTATTTATCTTCTCGTATCTCTGCACTTAAACCACACACTTTCTGACCGCTAGAACCGACCGTGGTCACCAAACTTTGGTTCGCGTGCCATTTTTTTGGTTATTTCCCTGTCTTTGCGCTATCCAGTGCAGGTTAAAAGGTTGAGTTCCGGCTGAAATGCGATGCCTAGCAAAAAATCTGCACAAATAGCATTTGCTTGTATGTGTTGATGAGCGGGCTGAGGAGAAGCGAATCAAATAGCATTTGCTTGTGTGTGTTGATGAGCGGGCTGAGGAGAAGCGAATCAAATAGCAGTGCTAAAGCCTTAGGCACAAAAACACGAAGTGATATTTTCTATTTTTTGCAAATGAAGAAATTTTGTATGTCCAGCCAATCAGCTCACGCAGCTTCTTCTCGTTCATCTGGTGGTGTGCGGAGATAAGTAAATGTGCCCTGGCAGATGTTGAGATGGCGATGATTTGATACTCCTCTCCGTGCAGCAGCGCGCCAATGCGCAACACAAACCGCTGTTACCATCAACCACGATTGTGCGTACAGAATTGGCACGTTATACGCTTCGTACCATGTTCATATTTTTTTAAAAATGTGCTGTGTACGTGGTGAAAGATGTTGCACGACAGCACCATCCAAAATAAAAAGTTTTATTGGTAGAACGTGTGGTGCCACCAAAGTTTTACGTATTAATTGCGTTTGTGTACGAGCGCAAAGCACGGTGTAGAGGTGAGCAGTACCGACATGTTCTGGTACTTGGCATGTAATTAATTTACACCTCTTACCATATTTGCATAATTACTAATTAACTTAATCTGTTCTCGCTGTTGAGTCGCTAGACGTGAAAATGACCGTGATAGCACTTTTTGCTCTCTGCTCACGCACAACACGTTCAATCACGGGTGATACCGGTGATTGGGAGGTGAATCTTTCG